TAAATAAATAAAATGCTAGCTATGTACAGGGAACCCACTGAGCTGGATGAGGCCCATGAGATGGGGCCACCAAGCTTGGAACATTTGGATTCTGGGTTTGGAGCCAGGCATGGTGACGTACGCCTATAATCCCAGCACTCGAGAGGCTGAGGCAGGAGAATTCCTGTGAGCTCAAAGTCAGCCTGGGCTACGAAGTGAGACCCTGTCTCAAAAAGCAAAAACAGGGCCAGAATGATAGCTCAGTGGTCTAAATGTCTGCCTGGCATGCACAAGAACCTGGATTCAATCCCCATACTGCATGTCATTCGCTGTGTCATGACAGACACTGAAACCAGGTATGGTGGTGCAGTCCTGTAATCCCAGCACTGAGCTGAGACAGGAGAATCACTACAAGTCTGAGCTGCATAGTGAGATCCTATACTGAATAAATAAAGAAAACAACAAATGTATGAACAACAATAACAACAAAAAGAACAGATTCTGAGCTGGGAATCCGTGGGAAGTGATGTAAGGCCAATTCCTGTCATCTTGGAGGTGGACCCTGCCTCCAGCCTGGGGATCTACCTAAAGCCCACCAATAACCGTGAGAACACTATGGCCCCCACAGATCGCAAGCAGGACTGGTCGGACCACGCTATTTGGTGGGAACAGAAAAGGCAGTGGCTTCTGCAGACACACTGGACCCTGGACAAGTACGGGATCCTGGCAGATGCCCGCCTCTTCTTTGGGCCACAGCACCAGCCGGTCACCTTGCGGCTGCCCAACCGTCGTGCACTGCGTCTGCGCGTCAGCTTCTCTAAGCCTCTCTTTAAGGCCGTAGCTGACATCTGCCGCCTTCTCAGTGAGTAGCCCACCTACAAAGCCTCTGCAAGGGGTAGGTCCCCTCCCTTCCCTGACCCAGCTGCTGTCACCTCTGGCCACTAACCCTGCCCCCAAGTGCCCAGGAACAAGGCAGTAGGTAGGTAGGTAGGTAGGTAAGTAGGTAGGTCGTCACAGGGGGAGCTCCCCGCAGGTATCCGGCACCCTGAGGAGCTGTCCCTGCTGCGGGCTCCTGAGAAGAAGGAGAAGAAGAAGAAAGAGAAGGAGCCAGAGGAAGAAGTGTTCGACCTGACCAAAGTCGTCCTAGCTGGTGGTGAGCACACGGGTGGACGGGGCACACAGGAGCCCCGGTATTGACAGGCCTGCTGACCACGCTGTCCCCCAGGGGTGGCACCCGTGCTGTTCCGGGGGATGCCAGCGCACTTCTCAGATAGCGCCCACACGGAGGCCTGCTTCCACATGCTCAGCCGGCCAGAGCCACCGCCGGACCCTGGGCTGCTGCAGCGTCTGCCGCGACCCAGCTCCCTGGCCGACAAGACCCAGCCGCACAGCAGGTGGGTGCCCCATCTCCATGCTGCTGGGTCCATCCGGCTTAGTAGAGACCTAACTCTGCCTTCACCATCTCCAGGTGGCTGGACTCATCTCGGTGCCTCATGCAGCAGGGCATCAAGGCTGGGGACACACTCTGGTTGCGCTTCAAGTACTACAGCTTCTTTGACTTGGATCCCAAGGTGGGCTGGGCTCAGGGGGACCTGGGGACTGGGTCCTTGAGGCAGGAAGACTGGGCACCCTGGTCTGGGCTCTAGACTCTGAACCAGAGCCTCTGGCCTGGGCTCCAGGGTGTTCCCTGGACAGGGGACAGGAGGATCCACAGGGGACCTAAAGTGAGAACAGGCTTTGTAGCCCAGCCCGTGGGCCCTGTGCCTCTCCCTGTCACCTCTTGTGCTGTCTCTCCTGAGCCCTTCCAGCCTGCAAACCTGCTTCTGTGCACCCCCATATCTACAGTGCCCTGGCTGCATATCCTGTTTCCTGTTCCAGGCTTTCTGTGGCTGCCCTTGGCCCCCCTCACCTGTTGGCCAAACCTACCCTGGTATCCTCTGTCCCAGTCCATCTAGAAGTGGACCTGCTTATGGAGGTAGCCGTCCATGTTACCTATCCCGTGTCCCTTCCCATTTTCTTTTTCCTTTTTTTTCCTTCCCAGTTTGACACAAGTGACTGCCTCCCTGAGAAGCATCCTTCTCTCTCATCACCTGTGATCCACTCACTTCCGCCTCTGGCTCTCCTGGGCTCTGCCCAGCATCTTGGCTTTCACTGTTGCTCTCTGTGGCCTCCATCCTGGGCCTCCTTTTTTCCAAGAATATGTGAATCTGAAGGATTCAAGCATCATCCCATGATCTTTGAGTCTCCCAATTCATAACCTCCAACCAGCCTGCCCAGATCTCCTATCTGTCCTGCATTCCTGCAAAACCCTTTACTAAAGCCATTCCGGGGTTGGGGATACAATCAGTGACACAGTGGGTGCCTGAAAAGCACAAGGTCCTAAATTTGATTCCTACTACTGAAAAAAAATAATCTGTTCCAGGTCCTTCATACCCCCAGTTGGCCTACCCAGTGCCCCATGAAATCAAACCCAGAGTCTCCTGTTCCACCAAGAGCACCTCATAGTCACTGTGGCCTCTCCTTTGGTTGGCCTCCACAACCTTGGAATGAATGTTTGCAAATGTCCCTCTGCTTTTGTTGCCCTGTCTGTTTTTCTTTTCTTTTTCTTTTTTAAAAAATTTTTATCCTTTTGATACAGGGTCTCACTATGCAGTTTGGACTCATAGTGATCCTCCTGTCTCAGCCTCCCCAGTGCTGGGATTACAGGTGTGTGCCACAATGTTCAGTTTTGGTGCTGGCATGGCACATCCAGAAACCCAGGGCCAGCATGGCATGCGGTACCAGGGATTGAACTCAGGACCTTGAGTTTGCCAGGCAGATGCTTAGACCACCAAGCTATTGCCCCAGTCCCTGTTTGTGTGTTTAAAGGACTCCTGTGACTGTTATATCCCTTACCTCGACCACAGGTTCTGCCTGTTCGGGCCCTGAGCTGTTTTCTGCTTTGGCCTTACTCCTTCCACATCCTGTGCCCCTTCTCTTCCTGGGGACTTCGTTGTTCTTTTTATCCCAACGTCTTGGAGTGAGTGGTCTTTATGATTCCATTTTATCTCCTTTGCTTTGACTTATTTTCTTTCTTTCTTTCTTTCTTTCTTTCTTTCTTTCTTTCTTTCTTTCTTTCTTTCTTTCTTTCTTTCTTTCTGTTTGAGAGACGGTCTCACTATGCAGTTCAAGCTGACCTGGAACTTGCAGCAATCCTCCTGCTTCATCTTCCTGAGTGCTGGAATTACAGACATGCACCACTATCTATACCTAGTATACCTAGTCCTTGATTTTGCAATTTTTCACATTATCTATTGACCCTATTGGAAAGATAATAGCATAGCTGTTTCACAGTCTCTCTTTCCCATGCTACATGCAAATTTCTTTGTATCTTTCTAAATGAGCAGTGTTGCCAGATGTGGTAGGTACGAGGTAGTGAAACTCAAGAGGGTAAGCCTGGAGGATTTATATGAGTTTAAGGCAAGCCTGAATTACAGAATGAGATCCTATCTCAAAAGACAAACCAACCAAACAAATAAAACCAATCTAACTAAATAAATAAAGCATAAAATGTAACTAGGGCTGTAATAGTGGCACATATAAATACCATTCTAGGGAGACCCAGAGTAGTTATGCTTATATGTTCTTATTTCCTTTTTTTTTTTTTTTTTTTTTTTTTGGCTGTGCTAGGGATTGAATTGAACTCAGGGCTCTCACACAGAGCTACAGTTCTTTCTAAATTTTTTTCTAAAGTTTTGAGACAAGGTCTTACTCTTTCACCCAGACTGAGCTGGACCTCTCAAGCCTCCTGCATCAGCCTTCTGAGTGACTGGGATTACAGGGATGTGTCAACCTTGGCAGGCCAAACCGTTTTGTTTCACTTATCCCTAGTAAGTGGCTGTCTGTCCCCACAAGCAAGAGTATCCAGAAAGCTGCCTGGATGCTGCCTACGGCTGTGGCCCCCACTGGCCTGCAAGGCAAGGGGTGATATCCCTTCACCTTGTACTGCCTGGAAGTGCCCACCATGGGCTCCTTCCACAGCGGTGACCACACTGACATGTCAGGTGGGGTCTTTCTTCCTGGAACCTAGACCTACTTGACTGTTACCCTTGGAAATCCCTTCACTGTTTTTCTGGGAATTTCTGCATTGCAATTGTTTACTGACTCTGCCTGTGCTTATGTTCCTCTTTTTTTTTGTGTGTGTGGCGCAGGGGTTGGAGGATGGGCCTTATTCCTGAGAGGCGGGTGCTCTCCACTGAACCACCCACCCAGGCCTCTGTGTTCCTCTGTGTCACCTTCCTGGTGGGATACAGACTTCAGTAGGTTCCTCTAAAATGTGCTTGGGGGGGCCAGGGAGATGGCTTGGGGGCCAGGGAGATGGCTCAGTGGAATAAGCGCTTCCCTGGCAAGCGCAACGGCCTGAGTTCAATCCCCAGTTCTGCCAAAAAAAAAAATAAATAAAATAAAATAAAATGTGCTTGGGACATAAGCATGTTGAAGCCCACATGTTGGCAAAGATTGTTCGGGCCCCAGTAGCTGGGTATCAGATTCTAGGGAGACTCTTTTCTGCCATCTTGCTGTTTCCTTCTGAACTCCACATTGGATGCTGAGAACTCTGTTGTCACTTTTCTTTCCATTTTTCTATGTGACCCTTTTATTTTCTTTTGGCAGTGCAACAGAGGTACTAGAACCTTCTCGAATCTTCTCCTTATCCTTTTGTGTTCCAAAATTTCTCAGTAAAGTGGAGTAGCCTGGGTCTTTCTTCATTCTTTGGCCTGTATACTTACCTGTCCCTTTCTACTTAGAAACCTGAGCAAACGCCTTGTATGCATCTATTTAATCATCTCCTCTGGGTACCACCATTTTTCTGTTCATTCCTTCTGAAACTATACTCAGTGAATACTGGTCATGCTGAATTTTTTCCTTCTCTTTCCTTCCCTTCTTCCCTCCCTCTTCCATCTCTCGTTCAGTAGTAGGAATTCAACCTAGGATCTTACAGCACTGAGCTATATTCCCAGCCCTTTTTTTATTTTGAGACAAGGGTCACACTAAATTGCTCAGGCTGGACTTGAACTCACTATTCTCCTGCCTCAGTCTTCCAGAATGCTGGGATTACAGGTATGAGTCACCATGGCCACTTCAAATATTTTTGATCTATAGATGGCTAGATCCTCCGATTAAGATCCTACAGATAAAGAAGGCTGATAGTGGGGCCGGGGAGATGGCTCAGTGGAATAAGCGCTTCCCTGGCAAGCGCAAGGGCCTGAGTTCAATCCCTGGTTCTGCAAAAAA